GCCTGGGTGTGCGGCCGGTGTTTGAGGGCTCTGTAAACCATAGCGAAGGACAGAAGTGTGCCATCAGTGGGCATAAATCAGCCGGGAGCTGGAAAACAGGGCGGGCTGCAAACAGAAAGGGAGCATGGGCCCCTGCTTTCTGCCGCCGGATGGGTCAGGGACTTCCAGTTCATTTATTCTGCTGGGGTTCACCCAGCCCTGCTCGGCATGTGTAATGTTTTCTCTGAAAGACCTAGCAGTTAGATGGGTGAAAAACAATCTCCTGTCTCAGGAGCTGGCAGAAATCCTAGTAAATCTGCAGAAGTATGTTTTTGTCGGTGCTGCTTATTCTGTTAGGGGAACTAGTATAAACTATTCCAGTAGAAAACCTTTTCCTGGAATAAAGTCTTGACTCTGTTCAGAGCATTGTCAGGACAGTTGTACCGGGAACGGAGCTTTGCTGGTAAACATGCCGGGACCGAGGAGGCCTAACGGGGCAGACGCAGAGCCTGTGCACCCTCTGCCCCACGGACAAACCCCTCACAAGGCACCTGCTGCCCTTTGCTGTGCTCAAATCAAAAATAAAATCTGTGCATGGTTAGTCTGGAAACAAAACAAGGATTTTTTTCCTCCCTTCAGAAAGCCTGGCTGTCCCTGCTGAGATGTGCCATGTCCATCCCCTCCAGGCTGCGGCTGGGCATCCCCCAGAGGGGTCAGGGTCAGGGCCATGAGCCACGCCATGGGGGCACATCCCCCTCCTGCGGCACTCGGCAGCCGTGGGGTCAGCATGCAGCTCGAGTGATCGCTTCTGCTTGTCTGCCTCAGTTTCCTTGACGCTGGCTGGCATGAGGGGTGATGCTGGGAGCCCCCGGGGTGGTTCTGGGATAACAGCGGGTGCCTACTCCGGTTTGAATTTCTCATGACCTGCTGTGTCCTTATCTCCCCACTCCTTGCAGCTGGGATGGGGATGCCTGCCGGAGCTTTCGGCAGGAGAGGAGGGCTGCCGGCATGGGTTTGGGTCGGAGATCAGACCTGCCACGCCCCAGGCAGGGTGCGAGCCCTGGGCGCTGGCAGGGGACGGCTCAGCGCAGCCGGCACAACTGGGCGTGCTTCAAAGGGCGGCAGGTTTTTCTGGGCTCCGGCTGCTGCTTTGCTCTCCAGGCAGGCGTGAAAATGTGAAAGAATGTGAAAAATGTGAAAATGGTCGTGCTGGCCCCAAGATTTGTAAACTTCTGGTTAATGTGTAATACACGACAGATACTCCGAGCACTGTGCGGGTGACCGCGGCCGCTCAGTGGTGGTATAGCTGGCGGTGGCATCCCTGAGCGAGGAGGCATCTCCCCTCCCTTGCCCCGGGGCCAGCCCCAGGGTGTCCTGAGCAGCCCTGGTTGGAGAGGCTTTGGGGCTTTTCTAAACTGGTTTATCTGGTTTTGACTTATCCCTCATCTTTCTGTGAACCGCCTTGTCTGGCTTGCAAAAATGCACTTTCTTTTATTTGTTTAATTCTTCCCTGGTACAAGGTGCATGCTGTGAAGCCCGGGTCCACGACGCCCAGTCCGAGCGATTCCAGCGCTCTCAGCCCAGCGCGCCGTGGCAAGGAGCAAGGTGCCGGTGCCAGTTATCCAGGGGCTTTGGCTCCTGGGTGTGATTCTGCCCAGGTAGTGCATTGGGCTGTAACCACTCCTGCAGTATTTCCTGCTTGGCACAAAGTGAGGTGCTGCAACAACTATGTTCCCACCATAGTCAGTCTGGGGCAATCTCTTATGAGTCACTTATTTTTTTTGCAAAAGTAGGTAAAAGATGGTCCTTCAGCTCTGCATGGGTCCAGCTGTAGCAAAGCTATAGGGGAACAGAGATGCTGCTGAAGCACAGGTCCTGGTGCGGTGGTGAGCGGGGACCAGGGCTCGTCCCAGGGAGGCTGCCCGCGACTGTCCTGGCATTGCCGGAGGATGTGTGCAGCATGCCGCAGGCACAGAGCCGGCAGAGCCCGGACTCGCCCAGGAATTCAAGATGAAAAAGGTCAGAGAGACACCTCTGCCAAGGAGCTCAGAGGAGAGCACGCTGGAGCTGATGCCAAGGGACGGCCTCATGCTCTGCTGGGGTTTGGACCTGCTGTGGATGAGGACGGTTCTGCAGGAGCCTGGTGAGGAGCCGTGCCGGTGTGTCCCACCTGCCATGGGTCGTGTTCCACCTCTCCTTCAAATGGCCTCTGAGCATCAGAGATCAAGCAGTTTCGTCTGACACTAATGCATAAATTTCAGCCCTGGATGACTTTCCCCTGTGATTTAGAGAGAATAGAGTGTCCTTTGAAAATGGTTTTGATTGTTTTTGTTAGCCGTGTCACCCTGGCGTCCCTCCCCAAAGTAAACGGAAAGGACAGAGGTTTGTGGACGAACGTGAGTTTAGCTCCCTTGGGTTTTGCTTGGTTTTTCTGGGAGGCTGCAGGTGCTGACAGGGGGTCCCCAGTGCGCGTTGCATCATGCAGGGCCACCACCCCGGGGATGGGATGGGGTCCGGCATGGTGCTCCATGGAGGATGCTCGGAGAGGCTGGGGCTTGGTGCGGAGACCACGCTCAGCTGCTGGTGCCAAAGGGTAGGGTTACGTGGTGTGGCTTCCTGGAAAGGGTGAGCACCACCCGCCTTAGGCACGGCTCAGCTGGGATGGTTACGTGGGGCTCAGCTGAACTTTGTTGCTTTATTTTTCCACCAAAACCAGTTCCAGTTCTGGGTGATATCCTGCTCCATTGCCCTGAGGAGAGCCCCAGCCAGAGGGCTGAGATGGGGCTGAGGTCACGCTGCGCCATGCCTGGGTTAATCCATGCTCTTCCTACGAAGCTGGTGGCTCAATTCTGTGCTTTCCTCGGTCCAACTGGGCTCAGCCCCTGAGCGGGGGTGTTGGACCAAAGCAGGGCTGCTCCTTTCAAGCACCCATCCCTGAAGAAATCCCAAGGGCTTTCCAAAGAAATTGCAAAGGGCATTTTTTATGGGAAAACAAAGCCGCTATCAAACATGCCCAGATACCTAATTTCGATTCCTCTTGCTGTTTGGCAGGTCAGGGTATGAGGGACGAGCTGTTGGTTTGCAGTTAGGGTGCAGAACGGGAGCTGGGCTCGTGCGCTTCGTTCGGGCAGGGCTGTGCAGCCTCTCCCGCAGCTCAGCCCTCTTCCTGCGGCGCAGCCCACCGACCCACCGCATCCCCCCCCGTTAATTAATGTACCGAGAGCTTTGAGACCCTCAGATGGAAGTTTATAAATTGACGCTCTGGGCTATGAATTATGAATGGAGTCACATCCCTGATCACTGCAGTGCTACACCGACAGTTCTGAAGCTGCTGATCTGAGTGACAGTCCAAAGCTTTTAAAGATGTGAACAGTGAAACCGGGAATAATTTGCTTTGCCAGCTACAAACCTCTTGGTCTGCAGATGGGGCTCATCATATTCCCTCTCCTGCCTCCTCCTGTCACCTTCCCCTCTTTTGTTTTCCAGCATTGCCTTCTCTCCTTACCCTCCCAATTTGTCTTCATGGGTGTTGTCCTGCTTGGCTGTGTTGACCATCCCATGGGAGCCGCATCCTCCACGGCATGTTCCTCTCCCAAGGTTGCTGGTGCCAGCTGGGGACATCTGCCACAGCACTGGTCCCAGCTGGGTCCCGCTGGGCCCCCGCCGTCCCCACCTGGCCGTAGGTCCCCACACCATCCCCACGGCTGGTGCCGAGCTCCTCATGCAGGGCTCAGCAGGGTTTTGGCAAATCTCTGCAGCTTCATCTCCCTTTGGCCATAACTTTGTGCTGAAGATGTTGTGTTTCACAGCTCTATCTCTGCCATCGGTCTTTGGGTGTTTGTCCTTGAACCTCTCCACCACTGGAGGCCAAATCCTGCTCTAAGCAGACATATGTGCTTAATCCTGTAAGCCCGGGTATTTCTGGGGTTTATTGCCTTCTGGGTTGCCTGAATTCCTGCATTTTTACCTCCGGGAGCAGTTCCCTCCCGGTCCCCAATGGCTGGCAGCAGGGCTGCTGCCCGCATGGGCTGCGCTGCCTGCTCTGGCCCTACCGGCAGCAGTGGGGCAGCATGAACAGAACTAAATTTAAAAGATGAGTTTTAGAAACCTCTCAGTTTTTACAACTGAAGGCAAGGCCCTTCACATTCCCCCCACCCCGAAGTGCCGTGCACCCTGCAGCACTCGGGAGGGAGGGCGAGAGCCCTTGGTAAGCCGGGAGGGAGCAGCGCTGCTCCCCGGGGATAACAGCACCGTGGGAAACCAGCCCAGCCCAAGTGATGGATGCGGGAAAGGGGCACTCATTGTTCCCAGTCCTTTCCAGTTGAGCCATCGTGAGCCAGGCGGCAAAAACTACAACTTCAAAGGCAAAGTCTCACCACCAGGACGGGGTGCAGGAGGGCTCTGGCAGGCCCTGATTGCATCTTGTTTCTCTTCACAGGGGATGCTGTGGCCGTGCAAGGTGAAGGGTGGACCGACAGTTGCCAGCAGAGCCACAGCAGTTATTTATCTGCCTGAAGCAAGGGTGGCCAGCGCTTTGGTGCCGAGGAGTGCAACTCGCAGGAAAAGAAGCGTTTGTCGGATGCGAACATCCCCCCGGCTGCAGTGAGGGAAGAGGAGCCACTGCCACAGATTGAGCAGACTTCTGGAGGGAAAAATACCACTTTGGTTTGGTGTCTAATTAGATATTTACCAGGAAGGAAGGAAAGTTAAAAATAGGGTGACGGTGTCTTCAAAGGATGCTTTTGACTTCTAAGAATAACACCTTTGCTGGCGCCGATTTCAGAAATATCAGCTGTGCCCGGGTGTGAAAGACGGAGGAGACGTTGCAGCTCGGTCGGTAGCCAAGGGAGCAAACCCAGACCGCCTGGCCCCCGGCCTGGCCTCGCGGGAGCAGCTCAGCAGGGGACGTTTGCATCGCTGCGGGGGCTTGTGGAGAGCTCAACTGTACCTGCAGCGGAGGGAGTTTAGGGAAGATGAAGCCGCCGGTGCCCCGGTGTGGGTGGGAGGGGATGTGTGGCACCATGGGGACCCCCTCCCCGCAGGCGGTGCTGGTGCTCGCTGTGGCGCTGGTGGGGCTCTCAGCTCCTCGAGCAGCGTATGGGCAGCCCAACTTCATCGTCATCCTGGCGGATGATGTGGGCTGGGGGGATCTTGGGGCCAACTGGGCAGAGACGAAGGAGACCCCGCATTTGGATGAGTTGGCAGCCGAAGGGACAAGGTAATATCTGTCCCCCCTCCCTGGCCCTCTCCAAGCATCCCTGGTTACTCTGTCCCACAGCAAAGAGGCTTTCCCTCCCACAGAGACTGGCCAGTGAAGGGGGTTTCACTGATGTGGTTTTGGGTGCATGGGGAGGGTGGCCAGAGCCTGGTACCATCCATCCCCACTGGGACCTGTGAGCTTCATCCCCTGCTCCAGATCCTCATCCCTGGGGTGGAAGGGGATGCGTGCAGGGGAGCAGGGAGGGACGGGGCAGCTTTAGACCACGCAGGGGCTTGCGAGCGAAGAGTCCTTTCATTTTCTAGATTCGTGGATTTCCACTCGGCTGCCTCCACTTGCTCACCGTCCCGCGCCTCTCTGCTCACGGGGCGCCTTGGCGCACGCAATGGGGTGACCCACAACTTCGCCATCACGTCGGTCGGCGGCCTCCCCCTGAACGAGACCACCCTGGCCGAGGTCCTGCGGGAGGCTGGGTACAGCACGGGGGCTATAGGTAACGCCCGCCGTGCCGAGGGGGCACCCGGGGCAGGGAGATGGTGGTGGGGGGGACGAAGATGCCTGTGTCCGTCCCTTGCAGAGGAGGTACCGCAGGTAGTTAGGTGAAATGCTGGCAATTAAAAGAAAGCCTAAAGGATCACGTGGGACAGATTTTGCACTTCCCCCTTGGACTTCGCAATCCCAAGCTTAAAATCTTCATTTTCAAACATGGTATTGCCTGAAATGCGGGCCCTCCCCAGTTCTCCATTTAAGCTCTGATTGCTTTACCTCGCAGTGAATGCGCTGGGTTTTCCTTAGCAAACATGACTGCGCCCAGCAGCTCTGCCTTCCCACATCACACGCCGGTGTGATGCCACGGGTGCCGGCTGGCAGCACGGTGCCAGCATGGTCTGTGCCACTGGCCCCATGGCTTTGGGCACCCTCCTGTCACCGTGGGCCCCCCACCCCTGCCTGGCAAGCCCCAGCTGGTAGCGGGCCCTTTGCACATGCAGCTTCTGTTGCTTGTGCACGTTGTGCTGGCAGAAAAGCCCTCAGTTTCTCCTTTCCTCCTTAGTTTTTGCAGTTCTCCCTCTTGGATCAGTGCATTCAGTGGGAGCAAGTGCGTGCCGGAGGTCAGAGAATGAAGCTGGTTGTTTGGGAGGGCTTAGAAAGTCATCTCCTCTGAACACAAACACATGAAAGAGACTTTTAAGGATGGGGACGGTCGATTTGCACAGGCATGAGATATCCTATGCATTTTTTCTGAGTTTCTGTAAAAAAAAGGCATTCTGGAAATGCGACCAGCGCAAACAGCCTTTCTTGTTGCTAGATTAAAGCCCCCAGTGCTGCGGGTGCCTCGTGGGTGATGGCTGGTGACAACCGTAGTTGCATTAACCTCTGAAATGATGTTCTGTGGCTTTCACACAGGCAAGTGGCACCTGGGACACCACGGCCGCCATCACCCCAGCTTTCGTGGTAAGGGCTGCGCCGGCGGGGATGAGCTGAGCATCCTGCGGCCACCTTGTCCCCACCGACACCCTTGCTTGCCCTTCAGGTTTTGACTATTACTTCGGGATCCCCTACAGCCATGACATGGGCTGCACAGACACCCCCGGCTACAACCTGCCGCCCTGCCCGCCCTGCCCGCAGCATGGCGTGGCTGCCAGGTACGGGGTTGCATGGGGGGTTCAAGTGCTGGCGCTGGGAAGCTGGTATTTGCACCGGCGTCCCCAGCCCTGAGAGCTGTCCTTTGCTGTGGTTGCCTCCCCTTATGCTCCACGCACCCGTTTTTTTCCCCTTGTGCACCCCACAGCAGGGCGCAGGTCAGGGAGATGGGTTGATCCCCAAGCACCCCATGCCACCGGGATGTTGGCATTGTCCCCTTTCCGCTCCCCTCCTTGGCTGCACCTTTCTGCTAAGCCAGGAGAACAGCCAGGCTCCCTGCCTGCTGCCACACCAGTCCCCTCTCTGGTGATGAGTGTGGGGTGGCTTCTTCCCAGCAGGGTGGCAAGAAAGGACTGTTACATGGAGGTGGCCCTTCCTCTCTTTGAGAACGTCACCATTGTCCAACAGCCCGTCAACCTCAGCAGCCTGGCAGCGCGCTACGCGGAGGCGGCAGCACGGTTCATCCAGCGGGCGAGGTGAGATGCCACCCGCTGTCCCCGGTCCCCTTTGCTGGGAGAGCCCATGGGTCACCACAACCATCTTCTGCTTGTGCTGCAGGGTGTCCCCGGGGCTGCTTCCCTTGGGCTGCACAGCCCGAGGGGTTTTGTGGCTGCTCCCCACCACAGCTGGTTTTCCCTTGAGCTCTGCCATGTGTGAGAGCAGGATTTGGCTGCTGGATCTGGGTCTGCGGGGCTCAGGCCATGCCCATCCCGCAGCGGATACTGCAGGGCAGGTAAAGCCAGGGGTGGGGAAGTGGGCACTGAATGGGTACCCACGGCAGCTCCCATGGAGGGACCAGAACAGCACCCAGAGGTGTTTAAACCCACCCCATATGTGGGGTTTAATCCATTTTGAGGATAAAGTGCTCCGGGATCCCTGGGCTTCAGGGTCTGCCTTCCCCAGTGGCATGGGGACATGAGGAGCCCGCCATGCTCTACCCCAAGGAGCAAAGCAGCTCCTCCGAGGTGATGACCCTGAAGCCCTGCTGACGGGTTGTGTAATTTTAATCCCTATTATCGGTGGATTATGAGCTGTGACTTTGCAAAATGCCTCCCTGCAGCGCAAGGAGGGGAAGCACTGCCGGGCAGCCGTGTCAGAGCCCATCCTGCGCCTGCATCCAGGGATAATACAGAGCCGGGGCAGGGCCACGTTGGGGGGGTCCTGCAGGTGTGCTTGGGGAAAGGTTGGTGTAACGGGGGCAAACGAGGGGCTGGACAGGTAGCAGCCTGCAGGGAAATGGCTCCCTATAAGCCTGGGTACCATTTTGCTCACACAATACCTATAGTTTATCCCCTTTGGGTATCCAGAATCGGCTGTGGCGTGGCCCGGCGCCGCCGTCAGGATGCCTGTCTGTATAACGGGGCTGGAGGATACCCGGGCGCCGGGCTGCAGGGCAGCGGTGGTCCCTCCTCCTCCGCAAACCCCCACCCCTCCGGGCTGCCAGGGTGCTGTTAGGCTGTGAAACCAAGCGGGTGAGCTCCGGGTTAATAGAAAAAACCTTTAAACTCCCAATAGTATTTTGGGGTTATCTGCGTTCATGGAGAACAGGATTAAGCAGGTGCCTGCCTTTTCTCTCCTACTCTTTGATGGCTTATTCCAGTTTTCCTCTGCCTGACTCATTCATTACGGGGCAACAAAAGAACACCGGATTTGTCATCTCGGTGTTTTTTTAACCAGTCGTGTCAAGGTTGAGCAATTCATGGCAGTGAGACTTGGCTCTGCTCTGGACACTTAGAGCGTGGTGAACATGGGAGCAAAAGTCAAGGACGTTTGTCTTAAGTTATTGATTAAATGTTTGCTCAATTTTTGGGAGAATTCTGAAATGTTGATGTGAAAGGCAAGCGGGAACGCTGTGGTCATGAGTCCGTCTGGATGCTGGAGTCTACCTGGTGCTCTCGGGTGGGATGCGAGCTGGGGGAAGCAGCTTTCCCTGCTCCAGGGTCTCTGGCATCCCAAGGGGAAAGGCGCCACGTAGCCTTTTGCAGTGGCGATTTGCAAGGGGTGCATCAGCACCTCTTGACCTCCAGCGTTTTGCAGGGGCTGGGCAGGGTGCTGGAGGGACACAGCTCTTTGTGGGGCTCCAGCACCGCTGGGGAAGGATGCAGCAGCTTTGGGCGGGATGGGATTTACTCATTTTCCATCCCCAGGTGGGTGACGGGTAAAGGAAGGAAGTGCTGAAACGCACGTTGGAGGGGCCCCGAAAGCTTTCTCAAGGCAGTGATGGGGCGGCCGGAGCCGGGCGCGTGCGCGGGCTGGGGCACGTCCCCGAGATCCGGCCCCTCCCCACTGCTCGCCATCCCACCCTTCCCCTCAGAGGTCCCTGAGGCAGAGCGGGCCTC